AGGAAACAGTCTAATTGAATGCTTTAAGGGCAATCTACACGTCAGATATGGCATGTGAAGTGACAACGCAGTAAGATAAATTCGTGATATTTGTATTTAAAATCAGAGATTTTTTTCGGCTGTATTTTTTTGAGAAAAGGCGATACTCAGTTCACAACATTTGCACAATCTGAGACAATCTGACCTTTGACGCACGTCTAAATCCCACGCTAACGAACAACATCGATAATACAATTTGTAAACTAGAGTGATTGGCGAGTATAATCCATGTACAACTTTAAAATAATCCTACCTTCTCAGTTCATAGAACCACTCTCACGTGGGTATACATCACATACCCATGTTCCTAGCACGTGCACAAGTGTTTCTAATGTCTCAGGGGTAAATTAGACTTATTAAAATCTAGCGAAACAAAAAAAAATAACGCGAATTTCCTGTCTCGTGCAATGTTTTATCAGTGGTTAAAAACTTTTTTTTTATACCCTTTTAGGCACGACGGCCGATCAAAGCAATCGAGGGAAAGGTAAATCTATATCTCTAAATTATTTTCGGGCTATACGATTTCTAAAATGAACGCAATTTATGACACTAATAAAGAACTGTCGAAAGAATTATCATCACCACTAAATGTAAATGTATCATTTTAGGAAAAAAATTTCGTACTGGCTTTCAAAAGCTACAGTGGAACTGTGCTATTCTCCAGGAATCGTTTGATATGGAGATCTCAATACTGCGTCGGTAAATGGAAATGGAATTCCGCGTCATTTGATCCAGCGGTTTCCCAAAACATTTGGTTTGAGTAATTGAGTATCCAGTTAACACAAAATGGTGAATCAAAAGGAGACACTTTTGTCTGACGTTTCATGTTTCATTTACACAACAATGTATTTTCGCAATTTTATTTCATGGAACAACATCTTATATTGTTTAGAGCCATGATAACTCAGATCTGTTCCCTTTGATATCAAAACCATACTATTAATTGAGAGGGAAATAAAAAAAATTCAAAATATTTTCATGAAGATTTGTATACCTTTTTATGCATATTCCGTTTGTTTTTCATTAAAATTTTCCACAGTGTTGCTATAAAAGGATATTTAAAGTCTCTCAGCTATAATTTCTTTTCCCACCTTAGCGAAAAGTAACTTTTTTCTTTGTGGTTGGATGGAAAGTTGTAGATTTATTTTGTCCTCGGTGGCGCTTAAACTTTTACTTTGGCACTTAAACCTTTCACTTTAGCACTTAAACAGTGGTGATACTATGATTTCTAATTAATATAATGAGTGTAGCGCGGTTTGTCTTAAGTTTCTCAGTCATTATCGGAAGAGATGTCCAACCTGTCATGTAAAAAGAGTATGCCCAATGATTGCTACATGCAGAGATTTAATTGCACCAATACATCAAAATAAGAGAAATGGATGACATTAAATCGAATTCTAGACACGTATTCAAGCGCTCAAAACACGATTCTAAACTCGCAGCCTGATATAGGCGACGCTGGTAAAATTAAGAAGTGTAAGCTTTCAAATTGGCTTTTATGATTGTTTAAACAAAAAAGAAAATATTGTATTTGTCAAAATTATACGGATCTGATCTGAAACGCAGAATGGTTCAGTTGGAGCTCATTTTTAGCACTGAATAAAAAATATCACCACAAGGATAGAATTCAGAGTTATAACTTCTTCTATGATTTGATTTTTTAAAAATAGTTCAATCTCCTTGAAGCTAAGGAAAATGAGGATTTATTTTGTTTCCAAAAACTAAAATTTTTTGAACAGCAAACTTCCCGTTTTTCATGATTACCCGAGTTATATATCTGTGTTTACTTTTTCAAATTTCCAAAATAACATCCTTTCCAAAGCGAAAAATAAATTTAGAAGCCTCGTCCTAGAAATTCCAATTAAATGATTTAAAACGAAACCAACCGTTCAAAAGTACTTTTTTCATGGTAATTCAAATCACGTGCCTTTAATGCATTTTTATGGTTATTTTCTTAACCTCAGCTGATGCCCACTGTTTTCTGCGTCTTGCTAACGGCGTACTTTCGCCAATGGTTCCGGTGATGTGTTTTATTTTTCTACTTTTTAAACAACGCTTTGTAGACTATATACTGTTTTGAACAATTAAGGTAATATTTTTTCTCGCGTAAATCTGTTTGCAGACGTCTGTTTAAAACTGGCTGCTATTGGTGAGTAAGTATTTCACGATGTTTTTTTCCAAAATTATGAATTCAGAAAACAGCTTTCTTTAGCAATGCCGCTGATATCAATTTAATTTCATGTGCACGTGATAAGAGTGACTATCACGTGCACGGGTGATGTGTTATTTTTTCATTTGTCAAATTGTCTTTCTTTCCATTTTTATTTTAAAGATCAAGGGAAGTGCGATGCTATGGTAAAAAATTCACACCCGAATTTGTATTATTTATGATTGCTATGAAAACATGCCATGGGAGGAAATATCTCAAGATAATGTTTTATAAACTAAAGGCCGAAAAGAACCAAAAAAAAAAGTACCATCTATTACGTCCGTGGGAACATTACTACGCTTTAATTAAGGCCACAGTAAGGTGCCAATGTTGTCATGGCAACTTTATTCTCCTCTGGAGAAAAAAGCAAATAACTTGAGGTGTTGATACATATCTGGAATCAGATCATAGATGTTCCATTGCCAGTCGTTTGCTGGATTGAAGAAATTTTCCATTTCTTTTAGAGTTACAGGTAACCTTTCATCATAGATTCAGTTTAAGATTACGATAGAAATGAAGGTTTGAATTCATTAGATGATATTCATTGTAAACATGGATTTGTGTGTTACTTAAAATCGTTTTCAGAATTAAGTCGGCTTTGTCAAGAAATTTTGAGAGTTCTGAACAAAATGAAAAATTGTGACGATCTTTTAACCTCGAGATTTAGAATACAGTCGGATTGCGTCAAATTTCAAATAAGAATTTTGGATGAAATTATCATTTCTACAACCAGACTGACTCGATATTCACAGAATTCATCAATTGAGTAAAACCCAAACCAATTTTAATTTATAACCAAAACGATTTTGTTATTATTTTTATCTTTTCTTTTTCGGTCGTTGGTGTTAAAGTCTGTATAGCAAAATATCTTGGTTGAAACAAAATCGATTACATATCATCAATCGAGCATACGCACTATGATATACAGAAAATATGTCAGAGTAACTTGCGGTTTGGCTATCAGAAAGGACAATCTTATGGTCAACAACCAGAAATATTTTATCCTCGGGTGGTCTCGACTAAATTGAGCTTTTGAGGCACGAAAACATCATTTAAAAAGTGTTTAATATGCGAAGTGTATCTAAAGATGAAGGTGTTTTTGTAGGTGTAGCTGTGGGTGTGCCGAACACACCTTCTTCAATGAAAAAAAAGCCGAAATTTTCCCGCTAATTGTAGAAGAGTTAAAAATCGTCTACGTAAAAAGAATTACCGAAGGAATATATTTATGTCAGAAATCTTGACTTTTAAACGGAAATTCAAACAATATTTTTCTTTCTTAAGTCAGCCGCAATATGTAAATGAGTGATGAAACAAATCTGTTACAAGTTTCCGACTTCAAATATAATATCCTTATTAACCATGAAATACAAAAAAAAAAAAAAAAAAGCGGTTGTATCTCGACAGAATATTTTTTTAACATCTCCTTGCGCTCAAATGTTTTCATCACTCAGTGTTATCATTGATTCTCGTGGCCTTGTGCATCCTTTTTGAACGATTCACAGCAGGAAAAAAAGTTCGCTTCAAAACAGTTTTTCCTCTCTCATTTTTAAGGGTTTACTTCCAACTCCCCCTTAAAAGGCCAAGAAAAGAAGGATACACATTTGACTTTGAACGATCAACTAATTTCTTCGTGCTCTGCCCAATTCAGAGAAAAAAAAGACAAAAATCCCTTAAACCAAATCATTATAAAATGTGATGGGAAGGCAAGCCCTTCTTCAGTACTTTTTCCTTGAGTAAAGCAAAACTTTTTTTAAAGGAAATTGGTAATTAATTAACTTTCGAAAGCATACAAGGCGATAGCGGTGCACTCAGATTTACGAAGATGTGTCAATTTGTGCCAATTATTTTTAAAAAGTGGCATTACGATAATCATCGCTTTCACCCTCATACACAACATGAGCGAGTCCGGATGGAACCATCGTATAAACATGCGGCAAAAAGACTCTGAAAATCAGTTCAATTTCTCCTTAATCGATTCAGAATTTAAAGAGAAGAAGTTCTTTCTTCTACAAACTTTGTGCAGAAGAAAACAGCCTAATTGGATCAACCGCCAACCTTCAAATGGCCAAGGTATTGACTGTCAACTACAAAAAGGGGCAAGATTTTAACTGTCAACGAGCTAGCTAATTTTAGCTGCTATTTCTTTCAGATATTTATTTCTAAGAACGAAAATGAAGGACGTCGAAGTGTGCTGTGTATGAACCACCGGCTGCAATGCGCTCAAAATACATTTATATTCCGGTCCATTCAATAATTCATACAACTTCTTGAAACACATCCAGTGGAAAATGCGTTTATTCCTATTCTAACTTGGAGTGAAAAGTTAAGAGTTAAGTCCAACCAGCTCTTGCCTTTGCCTCAGGGATCTTCGTGAATTAAAATATATCATTTATCAAAAATTGGTTAGTCAAACTTTTCGAGAGAAAAACAACTGATATCGATCATTTTGTGAAGTACAGAGAATTTGTAAACATTTACCGTCAAATGGCCAAACTTTAACCGTCTCCCGTCCAAACGGCCTATTCTCGATTGTATAATCGTTAAAGATATTACCCTTCCAATAAATACCCCTCGCACCTGGGCTCATGCTCGAAACGTCAGCTCTCTAAAATTCGCTACAACTGATTCTATACTGATTCTGTCTGATTCTCTCTCCTATCTATCTTAGGATGATGATCAAGGATATGATTCCTTTTCCTCGCATTAGTCTCATTTTGAAGAAGCATTTTTTTTCCCATTCTTTCTTTTCCCTTTTCTCAAATTAATACAGATCTTATACAAAATTTCACCACACGTGTCAGAGGATCAAAGCAAGGGAATAAAAAGTTCAGATAAAGATGAATGCTTGTAACCTGTCGACTCAGGCTCCAAGTACATCGCAGACGATGCTCGGCAGCCAAGAACCGCAGCTCCGTCCAAATAATACAGGTATCGTTGCATATATCGTCGTCATGGCGGTCATCTTAGCAGTGGGTTTTGTTGGCAACGTGCTGACTATATTAGTCTTAAGTTGCCACGAACACAAAAACAAGAACATCACCCCATTCATGATGAACCTCGCGATCGCTGACATCATTATTATCGTTTTTGGATATCCAGTGGTTGTCGCAGCCAACTTTACCTCCTCCGGGCTCAACGTTCGTAACAGTCGGACCCAGTGTATTTGGTCAGGATTTATTAATGGCTCTGTTGGTATCGCTTCCATCGCCAACTTAACTATGATGAGTCTGGTGATGTATTCTGCCATCAGTAAGGTTAGCAACAGTACAAAAATCCCCAGATCCAAGATGATCGGCATTATTATATTTACGTGGGTGTATGGAGTGATGGCTATGGTCCCGCCATTAGTGGGCTGGAACGAATTCGTCCCAGGCGCCTCCGGTATCAGCTGCTGTCCGAACTGGTCACCCGAAACAAAGGCTGGAATGGCGTACAATATGTTGTTGGTTTTCGTTGGCTTCGTTCTGCCACTAAGCGTCATTATTTACTCTTATCACAGGATATACAGGTCAGTGAACAATTTTTTTTAGGGTTTCTTGGTTGACAAAAAATACCTGATTCCATCGGAACAAAGCATTGAGTGATTTACATTGGTTTCCACAAATAAAGAGGGAATTTCAAAGTAGTCATCAGTGAACAGTTCGTAAGAAAAATAAACGATAAAAAGAAAAGAGAAAAGATCAAGAAAGTTACCTGAAAAGCGAGTCACAAAGTTATAACACGGTCTAACATCTAATTGGTCGATAGGGTGGGGAAAGACTTGAGGCAGAAAAGAAAAAAAAAAGAAAAGTGGGGATATTGATAACGTTAACAGGATATTTTTTGTTGCAGGTACATTCGTGCACAGCCACCAATGCTTGGAAGTGCTTCGATTCAAGCCATCCGAAGAAAATCCGAGATCAAAGTCGTGCGCATGATTGCCATGTCAATTGCAGCCTTCGTCCTAAGCTGGTCTCCCTATACTTTCGTCAGTATTATGGCCACCATCCGGGGTTCTAATGTTCTGACACCTGACTCGGCAGAAGTCCCGGATCTTTTAGCTAAGGCTTGGGTTATCTACAATCCCATCGTGTACACAGCAATGAACGACAGATTCCGTAGAACCTTGATGCGTATTGTCTCAATTCGCTGCATCTTCCGCAAGGCAATAAATCCAATGGGAAGAACGATGTCACTCACGGTGGAATCACGCCCCACGCATGCGTACACGATACCGGATCCGCCGAGAGATAGAGCCCAAAGTGTGGTTTAATTCAGATACCTTCAGTGACAATGAACATTCGTCAAAAGCTTCTCTCCACAGACGGTGGGAAGTCGATGTTTGAAATCGAAGCTGAAGTCGTGGTTGATAATATGCCAAATTTCAGTCAGATTCATGGAACTTTGTATTGCAAATATCTACACCTTACCGTCGTCAGCCTGTATAAATAATGTATTATTGCTACCAGATCTCCTCCTTTAATCACCCAGTCGACGTAAATTTGGCGACAACTAAAGACGACGAGTAAATCTCTGGAGAATATGATATTCAAAGCATGCTGACTAACCCTTTGCATCAAATGGTCGTGTGGTGTGTTATCCACCGACTATAGATAAATTCAATTTTCGCAGTTGTCTATTTAAGAGAAGGCTCTTCGTATACTGTTTTTAAGTCGCGTTGGAATTTGTAGTGATGGTTGCCCGACTAAACTTGTAATTTTCCAATCGATATCCCAGTTGAAAAACATATTTTAGATAGAATATACCAACTTGAAATACGCCTGGCAACAAACTGTCAATTTACGTGCGACGCAATAGAGAAACCTAAACTTGGTTTTTATATTGTGCTGTTTGTAGTCCTCAGGCTTCAACAGAATTAGAACTTTTGACTGCTTTGTGTTACCAATGCTATGCTTTGTGCATGTTTTATTTTCATGAAATTTTGATCTTAAATATATACATGTTATTGCGATATTCCTTCTCATTTATCTAACTCCACTACCTGTTACACCATCAAAGTGGTTCGTTAGTAGTATTAAAAAAAGAGATCCATCATAAATAAACAACAATAATAACGACAGCAAATAATTGTCTTAAATTTCCAGGCTGCAAAAGTTGGAGTCACGGTGGAAAATCACAGTAGTACAAGTGACAAAAACCTATTTATGCATCCAAACCAGCTTTAGATGCCTAAGAAAATAGTCCTCACGACAAGAGCGACTTGGACTTGTGTCTCGCAAGTAATCCAGACTTCCTTCGGCAATACACTACATGATTACTTAATTTCGGGCCTCTCCCTGAACCAGTTTGATTTAATCATTGCGATTCAAATCACCTGAACTTAAATGCATTTGAAGGCATATTTCAAGAGAATATTATTTCTTAATCTTAGCCAACGTGTTTTCCAGCGTCTTTTTAACGGCATAATTTCACCAATGTTTCCGTTACGCGTTTTTTTCCCATTTTTTTTTCACAATTAAGACAATTTTTTTCATATAGATCTGTCTGCAGACGTCTGTTGTACTAGTTGCCATAGGTGATTAAGTGTTTTCGTTCAGTTTTTCTTTTCAGAATATTTTATTAGTAAGACAGCTTTGGCAATGCCGCCTAATTTAGTGTACTTGTTTACGAGTAATATCAGTATTCAAGGGTATGCGTCACGTGCTTGAGCAAAGTTTGACTAATGGTCGCGTTTCGCCGGTCACGTCCTTCAAGTCGCGGGCTTTAGAAAGATTTGTTTTCGTGTTATTTGTTTTGGAGGTGCTCATGCATGATGTACCGCAATACTACAATATTTAAGCGTTAAATTCACTAGTTTCACGACACACTATACAACATGGTGTCCACACCTCAAAAAAGAACTAAACGTCGTAGAGAAAGTACAACGCACAACGTCTAAAATTCTTTGAATGACCACCTCTACATCGATGAAGATTATTTTCTTCGGTTACTGAGTGTTATAAGACAATAAACAGAATTAATGGTATGGACTCCTTACTCCACGTTAGTGAGGTGGGGCTTAGCCAGATATTTTGGTTTGAGTTAAAGTATCAACCCAGTCAGAACTGGTCTGATATGGCACGGCATCTAATATTAGCAGCGCGTTAACTACGGTTATTTATTTATTTATTTGCTTCTCTACTTATTTCTAGATACACTGAATTTCATTTCTAATTTAAACAAAATAACTTGCTCGAGCCCCAAACAAGACTAATGGGGTACCCATTTTCTTTTTAACTCGCAACAATAGTCACCTGCTCCATCTTTCTCGGGAGGTCTTGCTAGTTTGTTATGCAGTCGAACCAGTATTAACCTTTTGACTCCCAAGATCTGATTGGTAATTCTCCTCTTTAGCTTCTAAACATTTCCTTGTAAAGTGGTTATGAGGATTTGGTTTTAGATCAAGATAACGAATTCTACCTGATAAGTTTGAATATTCTCATTAGCTGTTTGCTGAATAATGTAAGGATATTATAGCAAGAAGTTTCATGTTGATCACCCCCGGGAGTTAAAGGGTTAAGCGGTCACCCACGGGGGATGGCCGCTTAATACAGGTTCCACAGATAAAGGGCATCATAGAAACGATACACAATGCCATTCTATGCCATAATTGTGACTTCATGTGTAGGATCTCGCTCAAAAATGCTACTTACTTTGATTTTTGGGAAGAAATATGGATTAAAAATAACCTGAAATAATATTCCTAGTTCTATTTGAATGGTTTGGCTTTGAGTGATCGTTCAATACGGGTGGCAGGCTAAACAAACAGGCCTTTGGGACTTAGTGCAAGGTGACCGCTACCGCTGAATAGAGGTAAAAACCACAATGATTGAGGGGAAACAAATTCAGGACTTTGGACCGCTGAATTCAGTGCCGCTCAATTTCAGGTTCGACCATATTGCCTCTCTGTATAATCTTCTAACAGTTATAACAATGATCTAAACAAGTTTTCACGCTCAATATTTCATATCTGATGAAATCATCGTTAACTAATAGGAAATGGAACCTAACTAAATGCAGATCGACATCTTTCATAACTTGCGATGAATATAAATGGATTGGTTGTAAATTGGATAGGCATCTTCATTGCTGATAAATTTAGTGAGAATGTTTAATTTACAGAAATAAAACTGACTTGGTGGAAGAGCGGCGAACTATTTATTAATGCGAATTGTATTCATCCACCGCCCGTCGTCTGTGAAATAGTGTATCTAGGACCTGGTAAGCATACAAATGTTTGTTTAAGAACATTCTGGTGCCTGTATTGTTCTATGGAAAGTCTGTCGGTAAAGTTTACCATTAATTTGAAAAAAAAAATGCCTCTTAAAAGGCGCAACTTGCATTGACAGACGCAACTTGAAAGGTGCGACCCACGACTTGAAAGGTACAACTAGCGATACGCGACCATCTGTCAAACTCGCTTAAGCAGTGTTGACCAAAAAGGAGGAAACAAGGTAAATGCGATGCTAGGGTAAATACACATCCTAAATTCGGTTGATTTAACACTTTTCTGAAAACATGCCACTGAAGAAAACTTCTTAAAGGCGATGTTTTATACAATGTAGGGCGAAAAAGAAAATATTCTTTAAAGATGCGTTGGATACGAGATGGTGAATAACCAAAGAAGCGCGTAGCGCCGAGTTGGCCATAACCAATTTCACATCCAACGAGCGCGAATGGCATAATTGTTTTATTGAATCTTCCACTTACAAAATTTCTTTAATAATTATGGTGTTTTGCTGAATGATAGCGAACGGAAAAAAAACAATATCATGACCACTTGAACGGACTTAAAAGGTGAGCTTTTGTAACTTAAGGTCACGCATTTCAATTTCAATACAAAACTTGCAATTCATTCTTAAATTTTGGAGGTAACCGGCTGTTCTTTCTGTTATGGCAACGTTATAATACTCTATACAATAAAATGTTAATGTCAATTTTTAAGGGAAACTTCAAAGATACGCATTGTTCAACAGTGTTATATTGTTCTAAGTGACTTTTACTCTTGTCACCGAGATGACATTGACTACTACTTGCTCCAATGCACGGGAGAAGTGTTTGCTACTACTCAAAACTAAATTCAGCTTTTCAACACTTGGGTGAATGATTTTTTATTAAAGCTAACTCGGTATGTATAAACAAAAGCTTACATTTTGCGAGAATATATGCGCGGATATTTGTCCGCGGACATTATTTGTTCCGCGATGCGGAGAGTCAGTGAAACAAATCACTAAACTTTCTCTGCCACAAATGTTATTGCAAAATGTTACCAAATCATATTTCGAATTTAGCAGTAAAAGCTGCTTAGTTTTCCGTTGCTTACGTTAAAATATTTTCAAACTGAATTTATTGGTTGTTTCGGTGATATGGGAGTCGCATTATTTATTGTATATTTATTGTAATTCTGTTATTTCTTTAATCGTAAACTCTCACGCAAACCTATTTTTTCCTCCATTGCTTCGCGGCGTTGACGTTGGATATGAGATGTCGGAGCTAAGTTATGGCTCGGGGCTAGGTAACAAGCTCATAACCTGGCTCCGTTTAGCCAATCAGATGGCTAGAAATCCAATAACTGTTCTCCAGTTTTCACCAACTTCGGATACATTTTCAGTTTTAGTTGGGGAAGATTCGGTGATGCATTCAGACCAAACCCGTGCGAAAAAGATCTTTCTTGGATTATTCGGGCTGATAACAGAGTTCAGTGAACCAATTAGAACACTAGAAATGCAATATCTGGAGTTTTAAATTTAGTAATTAAAAACTATTCACCGTGGTGGAGGTGGCTAGTGGTGGAGGTGGCTAGTGGTGGAGGTGGCTAGTGGTGGACATTTATCAATCAGAGCGCGCCTTCAATGCTATCCACTGTTTAAGTATATGCTAATGCCCTACATAATAATGTACATGAAAAAATTACGCGGTCTGATTGGCTGAATACGAGTGCATTTTTCATGCCACACAAGTGCAAAGTTGTAGCACGAGTTAGGAGTGCAAATTACAAATAGCAGGCGCGCGGTAGCAAAATTTCGTCTGTCTTGACTTTTTGTGATGCGTTTTCCATGTCAGTTATTGACAAGAAACAACATGATTTCGAGTGCAATTTGGTGAAAAAGCACTAGTATCGGGCTAACAAAATTTGTTTGGTTCCACCTCTCAACAAAATTTGCCTACCCTAGATTTTCAATTTGTCAATCGTGGGCGCACTGAATAAAATAACAAAATATTTGTTAACCACAAAGCGTCAATCACAAGGATATACAAATTGAGTATTACTTGGACCTAGAGATGCAGTTGAAACTTGGGAGCCATGACCGTTGTATTCTGAGTGTCCTGATCGTCTTGCAGCATCCTGAGGTACGATTATCCCATCTTCACCGTTTGATTGCCACTCATATTTTTGCGGGCTACTGCCTGAAAGACTCGCACTTGAGAGGTGAAATTAATTTGCCGATTGACGTTTTCTTTCAAATCATGGCTTGTATCACGGCTGACAAATATTTGTCTTGCTTCGAGGTAGGACAAAGACGCCTCTGAAGATTGGTAAAGGCTTAGAAAAATTTGGTGGGACAAAAAAATCATCGTGCGCTTGGTAATCATGATCGACTGATCGATTCAGAATTTAACGAGAAACGACTAAGTTCTTCCTTTTGCAAACTTGGCACAGAAGGAAGTATACTGATTGGGATCAACTTCCAACCTTTTAAATGGCTAAAATATTAATTGTGAATGACTAAAAATGGAAGATTTTGACCGTCAACCTTTCAAAAGGTGGCTAATAACAGCTGTTATTTCTTTTAAGAACGAAAATTATGCTGTACATTAAGCTTTGGCTACAATGCGCACAAAATACATTTATGTTCAGGTCCTTTGATTCATTCATACTACTTAAGGACACTACTGACTTTCTTCCACTTCGTCCGACTTGTACTCACCATTTCAGTTTGCTGAAAACAAACTTTTCATCAAAAATTGGTTCATTAAAGTTTTCAAGAGTAAAAATTGTATTATCTTGTGAAGTACATTGGATTTAGAATAAAATCTACCGTCAAATGGCCAACAATTAAACT